CCCCCCTCCCCTCTTTTTATTCCCCCCCTCTTCTCTTTTTATTCCCCCCTCCCCTCTATTCTCTCCCCCTCCTCCCTCTATTCTCTCCCCCTCCTCCCTCTCTTCTTATCCCCCCTCCCTTCTTTTTATTCCCCCCCTCCCCTCTATTCCCCTCCCCTCTTCTTACCCCCCCTCCTCCCTCTCTTCTTACCCCCTCCCCTGTAGCGTGGCCGAGCTGCACTCCGGTCCGCGGTGGCCGGCCGGCCGGAGTGATAGGAAGGTCCGCGCGGAACAGGAGTTTCTGTTTCCTGTACCGGCCGGACTGACAGGAAGTGCACACTCAGTGTGCACCTTCCTATCACTCCGGCCGGCCGGCCACCGCGGACCGGAGTGCAGCTCGCTCGGCCACGCTACAGGGGAGAAGCTGCAGCCGCCTGAGGCTCTTAACAGAGCGCTCGGGCGGCTGCAGTATTTAAAGGGCCGGCCCGTCGCGGCCGGCCTTACAGGAATTTAAGGCGGCCTGGGGGGCAATTGCCTCCCTGCCCCCTGGCCCAGCCCGCCCCTGATCAGGAGCTATGACTTGTGTGGGGGTTATGTGAGTTTTTGGGGTACTTTCAGGATACCTGCAAATTGTGTTCTTTTTCACCTAGAGATAATTGAGTTAGTACAGTATATGGCTTAATTATCTCTCAGGCAGAAGGAAGGGATTGTATGGTTGTAATGGGAGTGTCAGACATTTGAACATCATTATCATTGGTCTATGTCTTTATCTTGTAAGTTCCCCACAAGGTCCATGTGGGAGTACCCCTTGCATGGGGAACTGCATAAAAGGCCAGTGTGGCACCATTAAAATCGTTCATTGCTTACCTTCATCACATAGTCTCAACTCATAATTGTAGGGACCAGCTATACATTCTATAATCACCCAGCTCTTGTAAGAGCAATACTATCCTGGGAAATTGGAAAGCATCACTCTGGACAGGGGGAAAAGAACGTCTCAGGTGGCGAAACCCCTCATGCTCTCGGGGTAGCGGCCACAATCAATTTAATCTAATCACTATTTTGAATATAATTTAAATATTAGGTATCTATGGTTTAATGTACATATTCACCTTGATATATCTGGTGTTACTCGTAATAAATAATTATATGATAAAAACCATTGAAGCAAAAAATAAAATAAAAATAAAATAAAAATAACAAAATAGAAATTGTTTTGGTCTATCTTTAAATTAGGGACATCAAATGTAATTAGTTGCCATTTCATGACTGGGTATACAGTCATGTATTATAAAAATAGGTATATGTGTGGTTACATTAGATTATATTAATTTAGTTCAATAATTATTGTTTAGAACATGAGAGAACAATTGACATTCATCAATTATTGTACATATTCACTTTAATATATTCACTGTCACTTAAGAATTAATATTTGATTAAATTATGTTAAAAAAAAAAACTGATGAAAAAAAGAGGATTTATGCTATGCAATAATCACATGATATAAGTTAATTTCCTTTAATTCATATTGAGGGTTCTGATTAAGGATCATCCAAGGTATAACAACCCTTCTTTTTAGCAAATCAAATACTTGCTGTTTTGTTTTACTAATACCATTGTTAAATCTTGCAATATCTTTGGCAACCACTAGATGGCGCTCACTACATCTGTGAGCTATATGGGACATATACAACCATCTTGATCTCTGTGGCTCACATCACTTAGAGAATGGAACGCGGCAGTGTTCAATGGAACGCACTTCCAGTTCCAGTTTTCGGCAGATGTCCAATTACCAGCCGAGACATGGAAGATAATTATTTTTGGATCTACAGGTGATCCAGTGCAAGAAGGTAACCAGTAGGACCATGGAGGAGAAACTCCCTCTGAACCACCAATGAACTCAGGGATTAGCCCTATTTAAAGGGACTTTGGGGTAGGAATTGTTAGGCTGTTATCTTTGTATAACTATCTGTAATTTACTTTTACTGTAATTTTATGGTCTGAGGAAGTTCCAAGTGTGGGACGAAACACATAAGACCACAACTACTGCTGTTTTACCAATTTTATTTTATTTATAATAAAAGCTGCTATTTTATACTTCCATCTGGAATCCTGATTTCCTGCTATCCTGCAAACAGCGAAGAGGGATCCATAGCCCCCCAATTACACTGGGGAAGGCATCCATTGAGCGCTGTGATGGATCACCTGGCACCCTGACTGGGCACCTCCGCCAACAGATGCTTCCTAGCTGATGCTGAGGACTGTAGGCACCGCACCGGACACCACAAGCACCGCAGACTCCACAACCACTGTAGCTTAGTTGGGATCTCGCCATCTTCCTCCCACCCTGGGCCAACCTCTGATATCCAGGACCTTGTGGAAAATACCTCTCCTCCAGGAGAGAAGAGCTGTAAAGCTCTTATAAGAGCAAGTGATATAGCAGCATAGCAGCTCCCCCTCCAATCACAAGACCAAACTATGTGTAGAGGGTTATGCAGGACTCAATTGTAAGGGTGCCACAGCTAGCTTAATATGCAAGGGAACACCCACCTGGACCTGATGGGGCACAGGGTTACAAAGTTGACAAACCAATAAAAACAGTGTTACAATGCCTGACACTCCCACACAGTATACAATCCCTCCCCTCTGCATGGGAAAGAATTGAGTAAAGTACTGTATGTAACTCAATTACCTCCAGGCAGAAAAAAAAACACATATTTTATAAAGTCCCATAAGTACCCCAAAACACAACATATCCCCTGATAGTCCTGATCTGGGTGAACAACATATCCAAAAATCACCCAGATCAGAGCAGGGGTTCAGGAAATTCCTGGAAGTCTGTTTGACCGACTGCACGCATGGTTTCATGCCGAAAACAGTTCCAGAGAATTAGGCTGTGCAGCCAGTCTATTTCAAATAGTCAAAATACCATTTGAATTACCGAATGTAGCCATTTGTGAATGTAGTCAGTATATGCCCCCTGTTCTTGGGCTTCTGCCCACCGAATGCCGTTCAACTCCCGTTCGAATAGCCGAAGTTCCATGGAAGGTAACTGTTCAGCGGTGATTGTGCCGTTGCGTGTCCGATTTGAGTTCCATGAACTCACCGACAAAACAGCTGAACACGTTCAACTAAACAAGATAGGTAACGCCACGTGTTTCTCTATACGAACAGCGACCACCCAATCATTCGTCAATTTGGCTGCGGTTAACTACCAGCCTGAGAGGTAAATAGGCTGCACACTCCACTTGCATGTGGTCTGGCTGTTCGGTGGTTTGAAGTGGCACTGTAATGATATTGATGTTACAAAGTTTTGGAGTCCAGTAGCCAGATCAGCAATGTTTTCTGCCAGAGGTAGCCACTCGTTACCCAGGTGGTTGAGCCCCTGAGCCTTGAGTGGCCTTCTGGTCTTAAGCAGAGATGGGAGACTGGAACAGAAAGATGATAATCGTAGTGAGGCAAGCCGAGGTCAGTGGGAAGGAGAAGCAGCAAAGTCAAAACAGTCCAAATTCAGCAACAGGAAGGAGAAACAGGAACACGCTGGATTAGAGAGTACAGGAACCACAATAATCTGGCAAAGGTACAGAGACAGGAAGTGGCTTTTATAGGCCAAGAACCAGACACCTGACCAGACACAGCTGAAGTGAGTTGTCACTGATAACCTTGACTCTACAAGCAATAGTATCAGATCTCAGGTAAATTTGCAAAAGGCAGGCTGGTGTACTGGTAAGGAAAAGGTTTAGCACCATGTAAACCAGGGTTCGAAACCCAGCAGAGTCAGTTCCTCACATTACCTCCACCTCTACAGGCGCAGCCTCTGGATGCCCTATTTCCTGGTTTAGCAGGGTACTGTGCATGGAAAGACTGAAGAAGATCAGGAGCATGAATATTGTCCACTGGTTCCCACGATCTATCCTCCTCACCATAGCCTTTCCAATGAACCAAGTATTGAAGCTTGTTGCGGAAGATCCTGGAGTCAAGAATTTTTTCCACCTCGTATTCATCTTCACCATCCACGAGGACTGGTGGTGGGGCAGGCAAGGCTCGACCAGGGAAAGTATTTTCATGAAAAGGTTTAAGCAGTGCCACGTGAAACACCGGATGTATTTTCATGGAATCCGGAAGTTGCAGACGGAAGGTGACTGCATTGATCTGAGCGATTATCTTAAAAGGTCCCATGAACTTTTGACCCAATTTATGAGAAGGAATCCTAAGCTTAAGATTCTTTGTTGACAGCCAAACCTTGTCACCAACATGATAAACTGGGGCCTCCTTTCTGTGCCTATCAGCAGCTCTTTTGTAACATTCCTGAGCCTCCGAAAGAGTCTCCTTCAACAGTTCTTGGGAATCTCGTAAGGCGGTTAGCCGGTCAGTGACTGCAGGAATGGGAGTAGTAATTGGGAGACTCACTAGAAAGGTTGGATGGTAACCATAATTGGCAAAAAATGGGCTCAGAGAAGTGGAGCAGTGTTGGGCATTGTTATAGGCAAACTCCGCCGTGGGTAGAAAATCCAGCCAGTCATCCTGCAGGTAACTAATATAGCACCGCAAATATTGTTCTAAAGTCTGGTTGGTTCGCTCAGTCTGTCCATTACTTTGTGGATGAAAAGCTGAAGACAGATTTACATTAATACCTAGAATAGAACAAAAATATTTCCAAAATGAGATGTAAACTGCACTCCCCTGTCAGAAATTACTTCATCAGGCACTCCATGCAAGCGAAATATTTCCCGAATAACAAGGTCAGCAGTCTGTTTAGCTGAAGGGAGACCACGAGCTGGTATGAAATGACTCATCTTGGTTAACCGGTCCACAACAACAAGAATAGTAGTGTGTTCCTTAGAGGGAGGTAGTTCCACAATAAAGTCCATGGATATAGATCCCAGGGACGATGAGGAATCGGAAGAGGCTGAAGCAAGCCAACAGGGGATGAGCGAGGAGTTTTATGTCTGGCACATACATCACAAGATGACACATACTTCTTAACATCCTCATAATATTTAGGCCACCAAAAGGATCGGGTAAGTAGTTCTTGTGTCTTTCGGATTCCTGGATGACCTGCTGGTTTAGAGTCATGGTAGAGGCGTAAAACGTCCAGTCGCACTGATTCTGGAACAAACAGACGTTGTTGAAAAATCCAAAACCCATTAAGCATGGTCATATGAAGATCACGAGGAGGATCACGAAAAACTGGATCTTTAGAGTAGCCCTTTTTAATGCGAGACATTAGATCAGAAGGAAAGGTAACTCCTAAAAATCTGCTCTCCGGCAAGATGGTGGCCTTGGTTACTGTAGTATGGAGGGGGTCAGCTATCCTAGACAAGGCATCCGCCTTGCCATTTCTGGAACCAGGGCGGTATGAAATAAAAAAATTAAACCTTGAGAAAAATAGGGACCAGCGTGCTTGTCTGGCTGACAGTCTCTTAGCGGATTGGATACATTCCAGATTTTTGTGATCTGTGAGGACAGTAATTGGATGGGTGGCTCTCTCCAAGAGATGTCTCCATTCGGTGAAGGCAGCTTTTATAGCCAAAAGTTCTTTATTCCCTATGTCATAATTTCTTTCTGCTGGTAACATCTGGCGGGAATAGAAGGCACATGGATGTAACAACATCTTAGGTCCAGTCCTTTGAGACAGTATAGCCCCCAACAGCTGAATCAGAAGCATCTACCTCTACAGTAAATGGCAATTCTGGCTGAGGATGTACCAAGATAGGGGCAGGTGTAAACAGAGTCTTTAATCTGGAAAATGCAGTGTCAGCCTTATTGGACCACTGAAAAGGAGTCCCTTTACGTGTAAGTTCAGTGATCGGTGTAATAACGGCAGAGAAATTCTTAATGAAACGCCTGTAAAAATTGGCAAACCCCACAAATCTCTGTATATCTTTTACATTCTTGGGGATGGGCCAGTCCAGCATAGCTTTAATTTTACTTGCATCCATACTTAAACCTTTAGGAGTTATTACATACCCCAGGAACTGAATTTCTGTTTGTTCAAACTCACATTTTTCCAGTTTAATGTATAGGTGGTGGGTACGAAGGCGCTCAAGAACAATGCAGACCTGTTTTCTGTGATTTTCAAGATTATCAGAAAATATCAGGATATCATCCAAATATGCTACAACAAACTGATCCAGGAGATCCCGTAGTACATCATTGATTAGATGCTGAAAAGTTGCAGGGGCATTACAAAGCCCAAATGGCATTACTAGATATTCATAATGTCCGTACCTGGTTCTGAAAGCTGTTTTCCATTCATCATTTGGTCTTATGCGAACCAGATTATATGCCCCCGTAGATCAAGCTTCGTAAATATTTTAGCTGAACGAAGTCTCTCCAGAAGTTCAGAAATGAGAGGCAAGGGATAACGGTTTTTAACAGTGATTTTATTAATGTCCCTGTAATCGACACATGGCCGTAGACTGCCATCTTTCTTTTCTACAAAGAATATAGGAGCTCCTGCTGGAGAAGTGGATGGTCTAATAAAGCCTTTGGCAAGATTTTCTTGTATGTATTCACGAAGTGCTTTCAATTCAGGCTCAGAAAGGGAGTATATACGGCCAAATGGGATAGCAGCTCCAGGTAGCAGCTCCAGGTAGCAGCTCTATGGGGCAATCATAAGGCCTGTGAGGTGGAAGCTGATCAGCATTCTTCTTATCACAGACATCTGCAAAATCCCGATATTGTAGCGGAAGCTTAGTTAAGTTTGTAGCAACCATTTCATTAATTGTTGTGGTAACAGGTGTCGCCATAGAGGGTTGACAATTCATTAAGCAGTGTTCTGAAGGAAAGGACAAAGTTCTAGTCTTCCAATCAATCTGTGGGTTATGCAGAGCAAGCCAGGGTATACCCAAAAATCACTGGAAACTGTGTTGAGGAAATTAGGTGGAAAGATATAGACTCATGGTGATTCACTTCCAGAATCAATTTTAAGGGCACAGTCTCATGTGTAACCGGGCCTGACGTAAGTGGAGAACCGTCTACTGTTTCCATTAACACAGGTGTAGATTTAGGGATAGACTGAATTTTATTTCCTGCTGCAAATTTAATGTCCATAAAGTTTCCGCCTGCTCCAGAATCTATCATAGCTGTAGTTGAAATTTTATTATCACCATATTGCAAAGTGATAGGCACCACCAAATGAGGATGTTGAGTCATCATACCTTCTTCACCCTGAGCCAGAGAAAACAAGGGTTGTGTGACAGAATCCAGTTGGTCTGAAATCTGGGATTGGTGTTGAATCTGTGCACCCTCAGCAGTCATAGCTATTGTTCTTTTAGACTTGTTAGGGCAATTGATGGCATAATGCCCTGTATTACCACAATACAGGCATAAGTTGTGAGTGCGTCGCCACTGTT